TCTTGGTGGGGTAATGAATGTAGCCAGCTCAAGTGCTTGCTTTTTGTCCTCTGAGCTAGAATGACGGAACGTGGGTGAGAGGGGCAGTGGCAAGACTGCGTAGACGGATGGGAGTGAGGGGCGGGGGACAACATACCTGTCAGTGAAGGCGCGATTGCCAACACTTGTTGAGATGCTGGGGACTTGGGGCCGGCCAGACATCTCGCGGTGTACGAGGTGAGGTGAGAGGGTCGAGCGCGGGAGCCGCTACTGCACGCAACCAATGAGATTGAGGGCAGGAGCAGCGCGATGGCTTGAGGAAAAGGAGAAACAGGATAAAGAAAGAAAATTGGAGAGTTTAAATAGTGCGCAGGGAATTTGCTAGCTGCCTTGGGGATTACGGCCAGCTGGCAAGTGATAGGTCGGGGAGGCGGTCGTTCCAAGGGTCGAGGGGGCAGTCGCGTCGACGCGCCCAATGGAACTAAATAGCAAACGGCCGATAAGCGGGCCCGTGCGTCTTAACTGGAGCTTCCTCTGCGCGTCCGCGAAATGTCGCTGTCGCATACCGCCGCCTAAATTACCACACCGCACATCATCATGGCCATGGTAAGTGAAGGACGTGACTTGGAGATCATGTGACTAACGACACGCAGCCCATCACCACCATCGCCGAGAGCAAGGAGCTCCGCGGCCTGAATCTCATTGCGGCGCATTCTCACATTCGCGGTCTCGGCGTCGATGATGACACGCTCGAGCCCAAGGTGTCGTCGCAGGGCCTCGTCGGCCAGGAGAAGGCACGTAAGGCGGCAGCCGTGATACTCAAGATGGCACGAGATGGCAAGATTGCCGGTCGCGCAGTCCTGATTGCAGGCCCGCCCAGCACAGGAAAGACGGCCATCGCAATGGGAATGGCGCAGTCGCTGGGCCCCGACGTGCCCTTCACCATGCTCGCCTCGTCCGAGATCTTCTCGCTGGAGATGTCCAAGACCGAGGCGCTCACACAGGCCTTCCGAAAGTCGATTGGCGTGCGGATAACAGAGGAGAGCGAGGTCATTGAGGGCGAGGTGGTCGAGATACAGATCGACCGCAGCGTCACAGGCGTGAGTACGAGGTCGGCTGCGCGACGGAGCGATACTGACTGTGATTAGAGCAACAAGCAGGGTAAACTCACCATCAAGACGACCGACATGGAGACCGTCTACGACATGGGCACCAAGATGATCGACGCAATGACCAAGGAAAAGGTCATGGCCGGCGACATCATCTCCATCGACAAGGCCTCGGGCAAGATCACCAAGCTCGGCCGCTCGTACACGCGCTCCCGAGACTACGACGCGATGGGCATCGACACCAAATTCGTACAATGTCCCGAAGGCGAGCTGCAACAACGGCGCGAGGTGGTACACACGGTCAGCTTGCACGAGATTGATGTCATCAACTCGCGGACCCAGGGCTTCCTAGCGCTCTTCTCTGGTGACACAGGCGAGATCCGCAGCGAGGTGCGAGACCAGATCAACACCAAGGTCGCGGAGTGGAAAGAGGAGGGCAAGGCGACCATCGTGCCGGGTGTTCTGTTCATCGACGAGGTCCACATGCTCGACATTGAATGCTTCTCGTTTGTCAACCGCGCGCTTGAGGACGAGCTGGCACCGATTGTCATCATGGCTAGCAACAGAGGAAACACACAGATACGGGGAACAGACTACAGGTCACCGCACGGACTGCCACTCGACTTCTTAGATCGTGTGGTCATTGTCAGCACCCACGCATACAACGCGGAGGAGATGCAGCAGATCATTTCGATACGAGCGCAAGAAGAGGAGGTCGATGTGTCTCCGGATGCTTTGGCGCTGCTCACCAAGATTGGCCAGGAGACTGGGCTGCGATACGCGAGCAACCTCATCACGACGTCCGACCTGATACGCAAGAAGAGGAACGGGCCAGAGGTTACCATTGAGGACGTGCAGCGAAGCTTTGCGCTCTTCTACGACCCCACAAGAAGTGTCAAGGCAAGTTCTTATACTACGACCTATCAATCCCTGCTAACACCACGAATAGTTCGTCTCCGACTCGGAACAGCGTTTAATCGGCGATGCGGGCGCTGTCTCCTTTGCGATCCCCAACGGCGCGGAAGCGATGGACGTCTCATAGACGGATGTTATACAATCTCACGGCGTACAAAGGTTCGAATGGGTCCAGCGTTTGCTCAAGGGTCAGCGAGTTGCTGTAGGCATAGCGAAAAGTCTGGAAATGTAATACTACACATGCGTGCATAGTCTGTCATCGTGCGCTGAACCATGCTGCAAGTGACTGTGAGTATAACGATGGAAGTACAACCATAGCCTAGTTGGAGCGGCACAGTCTGCTATTATAGTCATACAGGATGGCCCGTGTGTCATCTCAATTTACATCGTACCGCAGCCTTGCATTTCGGGGTAAAGCAGATTGGCGAACCGTATTTCCGGACCATGTATCCTCGCACCTGGGGAGATTGTACGCGCCCACGAAACTGTGGCGTCAAACATGTACGCGTTGGTGGAACATGTACGAGCCTAGGGAACTATGTTTACCCATGTCTGCAGGTAGTTCGCGAAGGATTCGTACAATCGTATTTAAAGCGCATATGCTGACGAGGCCACCTGCGTGAATGCGCCTAGCGAAAAATGCTTCGCCGCTTTCAGTAACTGCGCATGCGACTTCATTATTGGCATACGTAGGTCCTGCACGATGGCTTCAGTTCTCAGGAAGGACAGTGACGAAGGATCTTCGCGAAATGGAGACGTCAGGCCATGTAATTTGTTCGGCGCAGACTCACCAGCCACAGCTGCCGCCGCCACGCCATACCAACGGCGACAACGGCCGGCAAACTGCAGCCGCCATCCGAAACCCGCCCAAAGCCAAAACTTGGAAAGCTTAACCACGCAACGCCGCGTGTCACTGGACGACGACTCCTGTCAAGCTCGCCAGCTACCCATGATACCCCGGAAAAGCGGCACACCTGTAACCAGCAAGGGGAACGGGAGCGCGAATGAGTTTACGTAGCACAAGGCTACTGTGGAGGAGCAAGTGGGCGGCACCAGGCACAGGCTCAGGCTGGCAACCTGTCGCGTGCGCGTCATGAAGCCTTTTGACTCCCCTCCCGCACGCTGTGACCCCATGGTTGGCCCCCATTGCGCTTCTCTTATCTTCTCTGTCCCGCCTGCGGTTGCTTCTTCTTCACTGACGTTATCCGCGCCTTCCCTGCCCCACGGCTGTCGATCGCTGAACTCTGAGCACGCGATCACCTTCCCGAAACGCTGCGCTTACCTTTGCTCGGTTCTACCTTGGAGTTTGGGACGATCATAATAACATCATACATACGGCAGGTGTTCGTTACTGTTGGCGCCCTTTCGTCTCGTTGTCTTTGAGACGGCATACCTATCTGGATTGGAAGCCTGAAGTGGAGTCCTCGCCTCAGCCATGCGGTTACTGAAATGCGCTGCCGCCTTTGCAACCGCGACACTCTTCGCCTCTTCACTAGCCACACCGACGCCACTCAACAGACATCAAGGAGGAGACAGCTTGGCCGATCGTATTGAAAGCAGGAAAGGTAAGAAGAAGCCTGATACCAAGTACTTTCATGAGCCCGGGTAAGTCATCATAGCCTTGCAACTCGCGATGCCATTGCAGCCTGTAGCATGTTCGCTGACACCCCTCCAGAGGCAGTATTACGCTCGGCCACTATGACAAGCGCTTTTTCAAGGGCATCGTCTCCGACGAGGAGCGAACGGATACGCAATCGCACATGGTCCGCGCCTACCTGAACTTCTTCCGCGAAAACGAACTCGATACCTGGATAGCACACGGGACATTGCTCGGTTGGTGGTGGAATGGAAAGGTGAGTCTTGCTTCCACCTGTTTGCGATACGTGCTAACGCCTCTGCAGCGTCTTCCATGGGACTTCGATCTCGACACTCAGGTGTCCGACAGCACACTCCAACACCTCGGCGCAGTACACAACCAGACGAGATACCACTACACTTCCTACGACGGCGCCGTCCAGCGCGAATACCTCCTCGACGTCAACCCGTGGATCTGGGAGCGCGAGCGTGGCGATGGCATGAACATTATCGATGCGCGATGGATCGACCTGCGCAACGGCCTGTTCATCGACATAACTGGATTGAGCGAGACACATCCAGACAAGAACCCGGGGCAGTGGGTTTGCAAGAACTACCACCGGTATGACACATCGGAACTGTATCCTATGCGGGAGACCATGTTCGAGGGCGTCCCGGCGAAGGTGCCGTACAACTACGACAAGATACTCGTGGACGAGTACAAGGAGAAGGCCCTGATAGAGACCAACTTCCATGGGTAAGCAGAGTCACTTTCATGCATGGACAAGTCATAACTAACGACGCGTAGACACCGATGGGATCCCGATGTCAAAGAATGGGTCAAGAATGAGGAAACGCTGAAGAAGGAAGAAGAAGAGCGCAAGAAGAAAGAAGAAGAGGACAAGAAGAAGGTGGAGGAAGAGTCAAAACTGGATTAGTATTCCAGTTGGCCGTAATGCAGGTGGTGTCGATGGCTTATACTGGGTTATAGCCCAGGCATTGCCAGCGTATGTTTCTAGTCCACGCTTTATTGATACCCGGCGACGTTGAATTTAAGTAGCAGATGTAACGATTATTGATCAGTGAGCACGGGAACAAGCGAGTGAGGCTCCCTGGTTACCAAAAATCCAAGATCTACGCGTGTGTTCAACGGCCCGATGGCGATGGTGGTGAATAGTCAACAGCATGGCTGAGCATCGGAACTTGGTGATGACAAATTCCGATGGCGACCCCGTCATCTCGTGGAAGCCTTGCAGAACGTCACCGAAACAACGCATGGCTAGAGCTCGGCCACATGCTGCGAAGCTTTATATCTTAATCACCACTAACCTCATCACTCACTTCATATACTAGATCGCGCCTAGATAACATCCAACCCTCGCACCGCGTCAACATCTCGCCACCACCTACAACGCTTCCACGATGACAGAAGGCGACACCACATCTGCGCCTCCGCCCTCCAGCTCCGACATCGAAATAACACTCACCCACCACGGCAAAGCAATCACACTATCCTTCGCCCAAGATGCCACAATTTCCGACCTCTCCGAACGCGTCGCAAACGAGATGTCAATACCGCCCTCGAACCAAAAGTTCCTCGTAGGCGGGAAGATCGGACTTCAGAAACCACCCTTCAAGAACGCCTCCCTACCGCTCACCGAGCTCGTCGGCAAGAAAATAACCCTCATGGGCAGCACAACCGAAGCCGTCTCCTCCCTCAACAACACCATATCCGCCGCCTCAGCGCCCCGGCGCCCCGGTCCCATCAAAGCCGCCCTGCCAGCGCGCAACCGCGATTACAAGAAGATACAAGAGGAGGCGCAATACACGTTTCACACACTACGGCCGCTGCCGTATCTACCGAATCCAGATCGTTCGTTACGCTTCCTCCAACGGCTTCGAGACGACGCGGGAATCAAAGCAGCAATGCGCACGCACAAATTCAGTGTACCGCTGCTTACAGAGATGGATCCAGCCATGCATACTACAATGGAGAGTCGGACACTGGGCCTCAACCGCAACCAAGGCGAGGTTATCGAGTTACGGCTCCGCACAGATGCTTACGACGGGTATCGCGATTACAAAACTATCCGCAATACGCTTTGCCATGAGTTGGCGCATAATGTCTGGGGCCCTCACGACCGCAACTTCTGGAACTTGTGCAAGCAGATTGAGCGGGAGGTTGCGCGCGATGATTGGAAGAGTGGCGGGAGGAGTGTGGGGAATGATGAGTTTTATAATCCGGGGGATGAGGGCGCGGAGGAGGTGCATGATCATGGGGGGTGGACTGGGGGCGAGTTTACGCTGGGGAGTGGTGGGAAAGATACGGGGGAGACGGTTGTTGGTAGTGCGACGGGTGGGTTGAGTAGGAGGGAGGTGCTGGCTAAGGCTGCGGAGGAAAGGTTTAAGAAGACGAAGGAGGTGGAGAAGGAAGAGCGTGCTGAGGGAAGTGGAAGTAGTGGAGCTTGATTGCTGCCAGCGAGCGTGAGGGCAGTCGATGTGCGCGTATACCCTTTTGATTGCGCATTTGTACTTGTGGATAGGAGAAGCTGTATGCATCATCATTCCGCTTCTTATATTGCATCATCACCTTTTTACATGTCCATATCTCAACACCTAGATTTCTTGATTTCGTGCTTTCGGGTCTTGAGGTTTTGTATTCTCTCACGCAGCCAATGGCGCACCCAGGAGGGCCGAATTGTCGATCCATGCCTTCGGATAGGAGGAAGCTACAAGCTTTGTTTACCCCATCTTTACCCCAACTTTTAGCGCTGCCGCTGGTGCAGCCGATGACCTCCGCTTTTGCGTTGGCATCGCAGCTTCCTTTCTCTTGACAACACATAGGTATGCTTTGATCGTGAAGCTTTCTCCTACCTTTGGTTCCAACCGTCCAGCCTAAACTACCCGTCTACCTGATCGCAGTCTACTCCCCACTACCTCTCACAACCTCAACCACCCCGATGTACTTCGTCATCTTCGCCCTCCTCATCGCCGCAGCCTGGGCGACCGTCGGTGTCTTGCTTGCCAAATGGCTCAAACAATCCGGTCATGCGAGGCCGTTCAAAGGAAGAGATTGGGATAGTCGTGAGCTTTATGGCGGTGGCTCGGGATATGGGCGCGATATTGGGCTTGGGGGACCGTCGAGTCAAGGGAGGGGGCAGGGGGGCAGGGAGAGGGGTGTTGGGGTTCCGCTGACGGGGGTGGGGAGGGTTAAGGGGTTTTAGGATAATGGAGTAAGAGGAGGACGGGGAAATGGAGATGGAAAGAGAGCAGGAGACGAACAATAAAAAGGGATGGAGATCTCGGGGGATGAGAAGACAAAAGACGGGTAAGGCACATCGTCTGATCTGGTGACGGTTCACGGCTGACATCCCGCAGACTGACCGTCAACGCTTTCGCAATCTACTGACCGCGGTACTGAGGCCTAACTACCCCAGAAGATGGAGCCGAACATCTTCCCATCTTTGGTGGGCTGGCTTTCGCATAGCGTTGGTGTTGTTAGTAGATGGATCTAGTGGGCCTTTTTGTCCGCACGCAACCCACCACCCACTTCACGCCGCCATTGCCAACGCGTGTGTTCGGTGCGGATGGCGAGATTGAGCTTCTATATGCTCAAACTGGCCGCTTCGACCGAACCGCTATTTTGACCATATAGAAACTCAGCGTCGCCATCCGCATCGAATACACGCAGTCTTTCGACACTGTTCAAATCTTTACGTCCTTTGTTCATTGTCTTCTCAACTTGAACAACGACGTCACGAGTACATCTTCGTCGCTTATACAAAGACCGAGAGCCTTCTTGTTTGAAGAGCCTTTCCTTTCTAAACAACGAAATAGGACTTGCGTACTCTGTCCAACTTGACTGTTTGCTCCCACCTTCAAAGTGAAAGTAGTCCAAATGGCAGCTGGAAGGCGATACTACACTTTAGCGTCACAGACCTTGCGCGCCACGCGATTACCCAAGTCCACGCTAATTACAGACACTACGACTATGTTGCTACCTGGACAGGTTCATGGGCCTCGCCCAACACCCCCGCCATATGTGATCGCAAAGACACTGACCCAATATCTCTTTGGCGAAACCACACTCCCGTCCTTCCTTCAGCAATACGGAGACATCTTACTGGCTATTACAGGAGGTGCAGCTGCAGCATCGGGCCTATGTTGGTTCTTCCAGCATAACAAATGTAACCGCAAAAGGATCAGATTGGCGGTTTACCATGTTGTTCGTACGCTGCAGATCATGCCTGACCTAGAAGAACGGATGGAGGAGATGCCAGAGGATCTTTATAAGGAGATTGCCCGTGAGGTCGATCGGATGATCGGCACTTATTTGACTCTGTCAGAGAGTGAAACTACCTTTAGGATGGCCAAACGTAAGCTTTTGGATGATTACGAAGCATTTGAGAGAGAAAGAGAGGCTGAAAGGAGAGTAAGAAGGAGGGGAGACGATGCGGCGGCAGGAGACGTGCCTGAGATCACAGTTCAGTCTCCATCTTCTGCAGGTCAGCCCGAGGAAAGTACCGTTAATCAGGACGAAGGGCAACAAGATGATGAGCTGGATATGGGTATGCTAGGCTACAATCCGACAGCATCACACTCAAGCCCTGTACGAGAGCGACCCTCGCCCACAGCTCCCGATATCGATCTCAACTTCTCGGACTTCAGAATACCGTCATCGGAACAGAGTAGGGGGAGTCGCGGAAGTCCATCCAGTCTAGGCTTTTTGAACAATTACTCCTCTTCACCGCTGGCGCGGCCGTCGAATCCGACGCCTCGTCGTGGTCGTGGAGGTCCTTACAGTAGCGATGATACGCCTTCGCCACAACGCAACAACCCTGTAGATCTTTCTAGTGAAGATGTTCCATCTGGCGAAGACGAACAGCCAATGGTCCGTCCATCGAATCCCATACCGCGCCGTGCCCAAGGCTCTATAGATGTACAAGTCGACACGCCACGACCGAAGACTGCGCGTGGGAACAGATTCGACCTGAATCTGAACAGTCATGACATTCGTACTCCTGTTGTCTCTCAAAACGACGACGTACCAGTGCATGGATCACCTCGACCGCTCATCACCACCAGAGACATCCGTGAGCGTCGCGAAAAGCAACGTGCGTCAAATGCCGTGAAGACGACTCAAACGCCCCGTAACACTATTCCACTACAGCAGCCGCCCAGCGCAATGGCTGTGAGAACCCAAGGGGAAGTTCCCGGGCACTGGCTTCCCTCCATACGAGAAGGCCTATCTCCGCACGTGAGCCCTGCGGTAGACGCTACACAATACCGTGTTGCAGAAAGTCGCAAGCTTAATAGACAAATCCAGAGCGAGAGAAACGAGCGTCGTAATTTTCGGAAGCATATACCGCCGATTGACGATCAACTGCGTGAGGATGAAGAAGAGCCACTCGCTGAGGCAGTGGAGGCGCGAAGACAAGAAGCACCTCCTGAGCCCAGTCGAAGTGAGATACCATCCAGATTCGCATCGATCGATCCAGAAGTTGAAGAAGATGATGATAGGGTGCACTTCGAAGACGAGACCGAATATTCCACGTCAGCAGAAGCTATCGTTACCGCCTCACCAGCAGTCCGCCACGACAACCCATTGCCTGCTACTGTGGCTCAATCTTCTTCACCGATATCAAGGCTATCACCTCAGGCAGCGACCAAAGGCCAATCGCGAAGGTCGGCGGCTCCAAGCCCACCAGAGAGGTCTACGAGGAAGGCTGCAAAGACGCCAGCAGCTAAGACGCCGCCTAAAACACCTGCGAAGACACCTGTGAAGCAAAAGGCTCCACCGACAGTCGGGACGCGGAGGAGTGGAAGAATTGCAAAGTTGAAGGATGGGAAGAAGTGAATATTAGCGGTGCTCAGACGTTGCTGGGTCCTGTTCATGTTGTTGATGATATGCTGGTCATTTGTTGTATACTTCAATTGATTATACGAATGTCGCTGTCGCATTCTCACAAATTCATTTTTTGGCATGTCAATACATGATATTGCTCATGGGAGAGGATTATCTTGTTGTCATGTTCGAAACTTACGCGATACATTCTAAAGGTGAGGTGACGTCATCCGTCATTCTCTCAATCATATTCATCTTCGTCTCCTCTTCTTTTCCGATCATTTCATGCTCAACAATTTCTGATCGTGACCTGCCAAAGTTTGCGCATATCCCAACAAAACGTCTACATAGTCGTAATAGGGTCGCTAGCAACGGCCCTGCATGGTGGCTGACTGTCAGCTGGTCAAGTGATCGGCGTATTGCCCTGGTTTTATTCATCACTGCCTGAACCATGGATTCAGGGCTACAATCGAAACCTCCTTTCCGATCTTCTAAGTTCGTGATAGGTCGACCAGGTACCCGTTCTGACAGTCTCGTGCTGTACGCCACACGGCATGGCTATTGACGGGCGATACTGAAGTGTTATCTTCATTCAACAAGAACATAGATCCTTCGTGATGGTAGGAGTATAAGAATCTTACTTACGAGCTCGCATTATAGTATCATCAACACAGCCTCATGGTTCCAATCATCCTTCAACAATCCCAACCACCAACACCGCCACTCCCAATGGCCAACCCACAAACCCCCCTCTCCCCCTCCCACTTCCACCGCATAACAAACACCTCAAACCCCTCAAACCCCACCCTCGACATCGCCAACGACCACGGCACCCAAAACAGCACCGGCCTCCTCAAACTAGCCCGCGAAGGCTACTACTCAGGCCAATTTTGGGCTTTCATCCCCTCACCCTCATCCTCAACCCCCAACTCCTACCGGCTCCGTACATGGTGGCTAGGCCCAAACCGACTCCTCGATGTCTACGCAGAAGATACTTCGAAAGCGGTGTTGAGGCGGGCGGACGACACGCCGCATGCGCTGGATTGGAAGGTGGGTGAGTGGGGCAATGGAACATGGTGGATTGGGAGTGAAGCGAGTGGCGTGTTGAAGGTTATGGATGTTGGTGGGGAGAATGGGCGGCAGGTAGTATTGAGGGAGAAGGATGAGGGGGCTAAGACGCAGAGGTGGAGGATTGAGGTTATTAGGGAGATTAGTGAGGACGAGTTTTATGATAGACCTGCCACACCAGCGGAGGGAGAGGGCTGCTAGGAAATGGATAGCTGGAGAAGACAGTAGATGAGTGATGTTGATCTGATCTATTCAGTCGTGTAATTCGTGTCTATTCGTTTTATCTATATACACATGTTCTTGATGCATCATATCTACGAAGCAGGGGCAGCGGTGCCGTATGGAATGGCCTTCACGCTCTCAATGTCGACGTAACCGTACTTGCTTCCGGTCTTGTCGTCGGAGAAGCCTTGAGCCCAGGTACCCATGTCCTTCTGGAAAGCCTCGAAGTTCTTCTCGTCGCTCAGGTCGATAGGCTGTTGGTCTTTGCCCAGCTGCCTAATCTGTGTTCCTGCTGCAACGTTGGTGATGCCGAAATCGTTGTCGTCAGTCAATTGGTTGATCGCGGCGTGAACCTCGCCGTTGAAGATCTGGCGAGGAAGCTCGGGCTCCTGGGTGACCGGACGAGCGAGACCAACACCGTCGACGGTGTTGAGGGCGTCGACCATGGCGGCGGCGCTCTTGAAGCCACCAGTGACGTAGGTCCTGGTCTTTGAGAGCGAAGGTGTGATCTTCTCGGCGAAGTCGAGGAAGAAAGCCTCACGCTTCTTGGTGGACTCGCGCTTGTGGCCGAAAGCAAGCTGCTCGTAGGTACCACCGGAGAGCTCAACAAAGTCGAAGCTGTTGTCCTCAAGCAACTTGCAGAGAGTTGCGGCCTCTTCGGTACCGAAACCCTTGTCTTGGAATTCGACGGAGTTGAGCTTGATGCCAAGGACGAAGTTGGAAGAGGTGCGCTTGCGTACTTCCTGGCCGATCTCGGTGATGATACGTGCACGGTTCTCGAGAGATCCACCGTACTTGTCGGTACGCTTGTTGGTGCTTGGGGCAAGGAATTGTGCGAGCAGGTAGCCGTGGGCTCCGTGAAGCTGGATACCGTCATAACCGGCCTTCTCAAGGTACTCAGCTGCGTGGGCAAAGCCCTCGATGACGTTCTTGATATCCTCGTCGGTAGCGGCGCGTGGCTTGGCGAAGGTCATGCCCATGACGTTGCCCTCTAATTGTACGTCGGATGCGGAGATGGGGTTCTTCTGGATGCTCTCGGTTACCTGGCGACCTGGGTGGCTGACTTGTCCGACGATCAAAGAGCCGTGCTTCTTTGACTGTGTCGCAAGCTCCTTGAACATCTCAAATCGCTCGCCCTCGTACTTTGAGCCACGGGGAATGATGGGGTTGCCAGCAGCCTCGAGGTGGTCGTATTCGATCATGATGTTGCCAGTCAGGATGACGCCGAACTCGCCCTCGCCCCATCGTCGGTAGACGTTGACGAGGTTCTTGGAAGGAACACCACGAGCTTCGAGGTTCTGGGCGTCCCATGATGATAGACGCTCGGTCATAGCACCCTTGAGGAATCGGTTCTGGGCAGTCTTCTTGGAGAAAGCAAAGTCGAGAGGCTTTGCCAAAGGCGCAGGGTCCTTCTTCTCGGCTTCATATCTTCTTGGTGCCATGGTTGCGGAAATGTAAATGGGTATCTAACAAAAAAGACAAAAGTATAGTGTAAGAAGACTGATGTTTGGAAGTTGTGTGTTGTGAGTGAGATGCGAACTTGGCGTGCGATCAATGGCGGTCTATAAGTGTCTCGTTAGTGCTTCATCAGTTTTGCATTTCTAAGCGTTTCCACGAGTATGTCGCCAAACAATGACGGACTCGTCCGAGATTGATCCATAGCCACGTCATAGAGGTACGCTATAGGCTAGGGCCCGGCTGCGACACCTCGGCAGATGTAGGCAAAGCACCGTGATCTAGATGCGCCTCTTGCGGGATGCCAGAAGAAGATCGCGTTAGGCTGTACGGTGGAAGAGAGGGTTGTGGGGTTGAAATGTCGCGCTGGAGCAGCGGATTGCGTGGCGTCATTCCCGCGTTACAAATCGTTCAGGAACCGGACGAATCGGACCGACGATGTTGCGGTTGCGTGCTATCACGTGTCGGTGAGCTGTCAGGAACGCCATCGTCGGAGCACGATCCTATCCGACACCAACACCATGCGTTCGGCAAATGCCACGTCTATCCATCGACTGCCGGGATCAATTCTAAAGACTTCGAAATCGTGCCTAAAATCGGCATCGCCTTTCTCGCTGCACGGATGAAGGGATCCGCCCACCGACCGCCTCGTCTCTCCACAGAGCACCAGATGATACTCATCGTCAACAGACGCATCACTGATAGACCATGGCATCTTGAAATATCAATATTTTGACGATTATATTCTGCGCGACGAGTGTAGGTAACTAAGACACACAGTGGGTGGCTACGCTATGTTGGATAGCATCGCCTCCAAGTTCCTTCGCTCCTCGAAATGCTCAAAGCGTTTGTTGCTTGCCAAGATGTATGCGATTGCCCTTACTCCGCCAGCACGGATAGTCCGGTGAAAGGAACCTCCTGGCACTTGTTCTGCTCGGTAATGATAATCTCGTCACCAGCCTGGCAGTTGGTCGAAGCGAAGACGCGGAGAGACAGGCCCTTGTTGCTGTCGAATGCAACACTCTTGCCAGTGTTGAAACCCTGACACTTGTTGTTACCACCTTCTCCGAAGTTCTCGTACTGGCCGGTCTCGCAGTTCTGGAGGGAGAGATACAAGTCAGCTGGTATTCATGATGAGGATCGCCTCGTTGAGGCTCACATCCGGATATGACTTACGCTAACGGAGAAGGCGCTGACTGCGGGAGTGAGAGCGGCAGCAATGGCAATGACGGAGGCAAGAGTGAACTGCATCTTGAAGTTCTGGGAGGAACGGTCAGCTGGAAGCAAAAGCAAGAGATCGACAAGACACACTGTTGGAGTGTTTGAGGTTGAAGTGGGAGTGAGCTGCTTGAGGTTTGAGGATCGTGTTGGATGATGAGCTCTCGAAGGGGCAACAGCCTGATACTTATACCTCATCCAGGCTCGACATGCCATGCTGGAAAAGCATAGTATCGACAATCCAAGACGCGTTCACAGCACAAGAGCGAAGCTTACGATCAACCTCTCCAGGCGCCCAACAGTGGGCTCTCTACTCGGGGTCGCTATGCCAGATCGAAGTGGCTAAACCTCGGAAGCCTAAATGTCACCGCATTCTGAGCGCAACAGGTCACTGCGGATGTCTTTAGGCATCCAGTGACTGAGGCGAAATGGTGGTTGGCAGACGCAGATCGACGAATCGTGATACACCGAGGACCAATAAGGCACGTCTCTCAAGAGTACGCGGGCTGCTCGCAGCATTATGGCCCTTGGCCAGTCACGCCAATGAGCAGAGTGTATCTTGGTCCTGCTTTGGTAAGACCGCTCGTGGCAAGCTGACGTTCGAGACGGTATCGCATCCGTGAGTATAATTTCTAATTCCAGTGTTTCCTCCCCAGTGGCCGGCGCTCCACTCCATGCTAAAAGGCTGTCTATCCATGGATGAGGCGTATAGGCATCATTGTTCGTCATCTTTGGGTAACACTTCCGTCGCCGCGCATGCGATGATTGATGAACAACGAACGTTTGAACGCTTGGCGATGGCAGGCCTTACACTACCGGTACTTGTTACACCCATGTAAACGTACCATGATCAGTAAAGCCAAGGAGAATCGGAGCCCTGAAGATGTTCCAAGCCCGGCCCAGACGCTCTCACCACTCTTTCTTATAATTACGATCGTCAACAACGAACCCACTCATAGCGACGCCAGCCACGATCCGACGACGACACAGGGCACTTCTTCAATCCTCACCGCTGCGCATCAGAGACGGGCAGGAAGCTTTCACCCGCTCATACAGCGGTTTCGCTTGCCTTAGGCCACCATCCAAGATCAATTCGCTGGAGTAACTTCGGTCTATCCACAGCCAAGATCGCATTCCACATTTGTCCCGCAGACCAAGGCGGTATGTAAACATATATATATCTGGGCAGCTTGGCTCATCACTTTACCTCTTCAACTCGATACTATCTTTTTGGTCGTTGAAGTAACATGTTTTCAATCATCATGACATATCAAGAAATGATAGCAGCCCATCAAGACTACGTACGACAACAGATACTACACCGATATCCGCTATCCGTCAGATCAGAGGATGCGGGATTTCGCGGCATGCAATCCTTCGACGGGCCGGTAGCAGGAGTCTGGGGAGCGGACCCACGCGGCCCGCCTGATCTACGTGAAAGAAACGCCGATGCACGCGCATCTACCCACCTACGCGCGTTCTTTGGGGCCTGGAGAACACTGTATCCCGAAATGGGACCATTCATATGTTACCAAGCAGTCCATTTCAGGCTCGGTGCTAGTTCGGTCCTCCCACGTCGCCGAATTGGCCAACCCAGATCTTGGCCAGCGGAATGGTGGAGTAAGGCAAGCAAGGCATATTTGTAATACAATCGTACATTGTGCAAAGTCAGTGAGCGTAACGATGAGAACGACGCCCGAGGTTGAGCTGTCTTGATTGCTGGGATTATACCCAGCCCTATCTGAAGGATGGTCGAACTGTTCATTAGCTGACATATTTCACTGCATTTCTACCAAGAGCTGGTTCCAAAGGCCACCACAATACGCTCTTCCAAAGATCTGCGCCCGCCAGATCACAGCTTATAGAACGTATAAAACAAATTCGAGTAGATTACATCTAACTACCAAGCTACTCAGACCTCTTTCTCATCCCTTTCATCGCTCAGTGGGCGAATTCAAGGAACTCAGAAAGGCGCTCAACAAACGATACGTAGAGCTCGACAAACGGTAAGCGGTTCTCAGATATCAATCGTTTCCTCGTATCCCGGATAAGGCGTAATAGAGGTAGAGAATCAATTCGAAGGTCAGCGCGGGCCCTCGTGCAGGAATAGAGGATGCGGCGTAGCTCCCGTGAGTAAGGCGCATCCTCTGAAGTTTCGAAATTCTCAGGCAGCATTGCCTTCTCGTCCAGACAGGTAGGAGACACGACGTTCTGCACAACACACCACGTTAGTCGGCCGATCTGATACACATCGACGGCTTTGGTGCCATATTGACCCTCCGGTGGCACGTATGCAGGGTCCATACGCGGTGTTTCCTCTGCCTTTGGATATTTGTCTTGGTCCAAAGTACTAATTTCTGATTGCCGCATGGCGCAGCCAAAGTCGCCTAACTTGACGATCGGATACTCAGTCTTGTCGCCGGTACTAGAAGTGATGAAGACGTTCGACAGAATGATGTCGCGATGATATACGACATCCCAAGAGGCGTCTTCTTTAACCTCCAGGCATCCATCTTCAGGTTCCTGTTGCTCAAACTTTTCGAGTACATTCGGACCATAGTGCAGATAAACAGCCGCGTGTACCAGGCTCTCCAAGATGTTCCAAACGAAGAGCTCAGGTACTGGAAGTTTCGCCTCATAGGCATATTTTGCGAGGAAGTCAAACAACGTACCTTTGTTGCAGTACTCCGTGATCATCCATGCCGTATCGTGTATGCTCTTTGGTGCGGTACCGTCGAAGAACTTGATGACTTTGTCGTGCTGCAAAGTCCCGAGAATATCGAGCTCTCGCTCAGCGAAGCCGAGATAATCTCTGGGTAAGGGAAGAGTCTTCATGATCTGTGCGGAATTATCAGGGTTGTTCTCGTTGTGGACTAAGTAAATACCACGGTTGAAGCTTCCGTCAACGTCTTGCAGCTTCGAGGCGATGCGCCATTTTTCACCAGCTTTATCGCCGGTGACCTTCCCATCGATCGCAAACCGCTCGTCTGCTATCGTGGAGGCAAACTTGCTATTCAGCATATCAAGCAGCGTACACATGTCCATCATCGTCAGCTTTCCAGGGGGGTTGCCATTCCTGGCTTTATAATAGCGGACAAAGAGGCCGAATGCGTGGTGAAAGCCTGGATATCCCTCTGGATCCTCGGGGTAAGTTCGCAGATTCATCTCTTTTATAAACCCTGTGAACGGAGCTCTATCAGGAGGGTACAACCAGGAGATATCCTTTGAAATACACCAGCGCTTGAACTCGTTGAAGTAGTCTGAGCATTCCGGACCTTCCGGTTCTAGCTCATTGAGCCATTGGGGTGTTGAATGCGGTGCCACGCTGTCGTTGCTGAAATTCGTCGTTTCCGTTGTACTTGAGCTCTTCGAGGCCATGGTGAAATCTGCAACGCAAGAGCTACGCGATGTATGTCTCTGTCAATTGTTGAAGCCGAACTAGTGACGGAAGAAAAGAAAATCATGGAATGCTATATACCGTCTCGGTATATAGTACTGTTCCAAAACAGTATCACATGGTGTATCGACAACGTATGACGTTGTGGAGAACGATATCATGATTCGCGTACACAACACTGTGCCGCTATGAATCATCTGCATGCCGTTAACAAAGTACACCCAGAGGTATGTGCACGGCGTATCTGTCCACTGAGTATATACCTTGATCGTGATGCTGCTGGACTGTCGATAGCATATGATTCTCGTGCGTTTTCATCGCCCAAAGGTACATCGAAATCCCCTCGATACCGCTCGCCAAATGTCTGTAAATACGAGCCACGATATGTCAGAGGGTGCTTACAAGCGTCGCAACCGAGCCGACAGCGGCACCTTTACATGTGAAGATGAAACCGAAAGTTTCCGCGAGGCAATGCTACGCCTTGCCGACTACATGATTGAAGAAGACCCCAAACTCGAAAAGCCCGATCAGCTTACCCTACGTTACTTCAGGCGCATCTACCAGATTCCAGACAACACTAACTACGTTATTACTAGATTCTTGGACCGTACCCAGCTGATCACATCGCCCTCTGACCCTGCTGATGCACCAGGTCTGGCTCATTGCATACGACTTGTGTCGAATAACGAATCTGGAAGTTGGGCTGACAACCGGGCTGAGAACGAGCGTACTGTCAAGAATTTACTGCTAGACCGAGCAAACCGAGTATGTAATCGCCATATCTTCGCCGTTGGAAAAGTCGTCGGTGGACGATGGACTATCGAGTCCGAACTGGGAGGTGTTGACGGGACTTTCAATCAAGGTATCCTCTTCGTGCGCGATCATCTCCAAGAAGACATGCGCATCATGAAGGTCTTACCTTCAGAAGCCATGTATCCTGGCTTTCAAGCCCGAGAGATGAATATCTTGAGCCGCCTACATCATCGCAACATCATCACCCTCTACGACGCGCATCTTCCTAGCCCCGTCACAGAACGTCACGCCTCGCCGTACCTAGTAACAGAGTATTGCGACAAAGGTACTCTAGCCGATTTGATCAAGACCTGGAACGAGCGCGGCAAGCTCATTCCCGAAAGCTTCGTGTGGCAAGTCTTCGAAGCCCTAGTAACCGCTATCCAGTACCTACATCGTGGACCCTATCCCTACAATGAAGCGGCCTACAACTGGGACCCCATCACCCACCGTGACATTATACCATCCAACATCTTCCTCAAAAGCGGCTCCCAGGTCAACCCGAGCGACTACCCGGTCAGCATCAAGCTAGCGGATTTCGGCTGCGCCATTACTGATAGCGAGATGGAAGCTCACAACTATACCCTCCTTGATCTTCCCCTCGTGGCTGATCAGTACAGGCCTCCAGAAGGGGCGCAAGCCACTGAAGCCACGGATATGTATCAGGTTGGGTTGGTCATGTCGCTCATGTATTGCATGACGGATAGCCCCTTGCGAGATCTTGTCGAAGCGGGTAACTTATCGCGGGACTGTCTTAAGGGCTACAAGGGGTATTCGCCTGAGTTGCGCATGTATATTGAGATGTGTCTTGATGCTGAGGATGATCAACGGCCCGATGCGAACTTCTTTCTACTGCGCATTCAAAGTGCGCGGAGGTCGTTGCGCAACATGGGTAGGTTTGATGGGCAGGTCGATCTTTTTGCAAAGCATTGAGTTTATCCTAGTACCTACGTGGGTGGAAGAAGTTTGTGAGATTAATGTAGGTAGACCCTTCGTAGTCCAGTCACCTTTTTGTTCGTTACCTAGGTACGGTCCGTGTAGATGCCTCAAGACCTACATCACAGCGCATTGTGTCCTATGCCTGTAGTGGGAGCGGGACCTTAACAAGTAAAACCCGTTTTCAATGCCCCGAGGCTAGTTGCAAGATCTGGGACAGGGTTGTGCGCATGCAAAGCTGTTGTCGTTCCAATGACGCTCTTAGCATGTTCCCGTTGTTGCGGGGTCGAAAGCGTCGTCGCCGCCGCATTTGGTAACGCGGCTATCGAATCGCCCCTAGCTTACGTAGGTACCTGCCCAAGCCGGAGCCTGACACTTTCTTCTCTACAGCCACTGTATCACACCATCCAATCTCGGAATTTCAACTGCAATTATGTGCCATACAGGCGGGGAAGCCTTTGACACTGCACGAGCATTGCCACTCGAACGTCATGCATGTCGTACCCTGCGATGCGCTGCTGCAAGGCGCTGCTGAGCGCCGAGATCCGCGAATGAGTGGGTTGTACATTTGTGACGTCCCCGGCGGCTACAGCTATTCACGGCCGTATCATAGGGCCGGAGCAAATACGGCTGAGGGGTAGTACTTGAAAGTGTGGGATCTGAGAGCAGATAAGGCGTTGGCCAACAAGTTGATTCGCTACGGATATCGACATAGCCTCGCCGGTCAATAGGCTACAAGGCAGCCTTGCGCTGGGAAAATTGACATACCCACGTCGATCAACATGCTGCAATGCAGCATTGCGGCGCAGTCGCCTACCTCACACAAAGGTTCCCACGTGCTGCGGGGCTGAACTGCACTTAAAGAAGAGATGCAAGCTCTTGCGAAGCTTAACCCAGTTTATATCGACAAAATCACACCTGAGCCAGCACATTACGGAGAGAAGGTTCTTATGGCCCCTCAATTTGTGGTTAAAGCAATCTCAGATCCAAGGCAAGACTCAGGGCGCGGCTCGGAGGTATGGTCATTGAGCGGTGGGATAGTACAAACCCATGCCGATGATCCAAGTAACTGGACGTCTAGATTCCTCCTTGAAGCGATTCCCGAGTTTGCCAAAGACATACCGATCGATGACCCTCAACAGCCTGCGTGTTTTGCTATCAAGCAATGCATGCAGGGGAAGCCTGGGTTTGCTGGCTCTGCCTATCACAGTGCGGCCTTGGAAGAGACAATCCGGTGTGGATGCCGCTACTGCGGTGCTGTGTGTGAGATCACAACGGAGTCTATTGGGCGTGATATCAGAATCGGTTACTGGAAGGATACCTTGAGTGTTACATTCGATGCATTTAGGAGAGATGGAAAATCCCAAGACACAGTGAGGACGAAGCTGTTCGTCCTGGACGGTAAGTCAGTAGATGGTGGTAATGTTAGCTTGACTAATGACGGCGCAGCTCAGGAAGACCCTATTCTTCCCGTCTGGACAGACCTTCCAGGCAATACTGCATCGAGACAGAGCTTTGAGAACATCAAGCGCTGGCTCAATACATGTCTGAACACGCATAGATTGTGCTCACTGTCACACGAAACTCACGACCGCATCAAAGTACCTGACCACATCAAAGTACCTGACCACATCAAACTACCTGGCCACATCAAACTACCTGACCGCATCAAACTACCTGACCGAGTGGTAGAGGTGAGCGTCGATACACCACGTCGAATTCGCTTGATCGAAACGAAAGGACTAGAAGGGCAATATGCATGTCTCAGTCACTGTTGGGGCGGTAAGCAGCCATTGCAGACAACTCGGAAGCCAGACACACTGTCTTTCCATCTGCAACACATCCCAGAGATAGCCATACCGCGAACGTTTCGAGATGCTATTACGGTTATTCTTGAGCTTGGAATCCACTACATCTGGATAGACTCATTATGCGTAAGTCACTTTGGCATTCCCGTGAATGGGATGTCATTCAATCTAGGTACTGACTAGATGGTCAGATAATCCAAGACGATGAGGCGGATTGGCAGAATCAGTCTGCTCAAATGGCTGATATATATGCAAACTCTACGATAACGATCGCGGCGTCAGCATCTACAAGTCCAGACATGGGTCTCTTCCGGATCACAGATTCGAAATATGTCGGCAGACCTATGACAAATGCTCCTAGCTTCCACGTGAGATATCCACTGGGGCATGGAGGCCGTGATTTACCACTTTTTCAGCGAGGCTGGGCCTTCCAAGAGCGTATCTTGAGTCCCCGTGTTCTTCATTTTGCAGAGCATGAGCTCATCTGGGAGTGTATGGAATACGAAGACTGCGAATGTGGGGCCATGCGACTGGATTCCCTCAAAAGTCCAGGAGAATATACAGGAGGATATTTTCAAAAGACTATAGACGGAGAATGGCCGGCTACCAAGAGTCATTGTCATCCAATACGGTGGTGGTTACTCAAAGACAACCGCGAAAGGATTGCGGGCATATGGTCAAGACTCATCAGAAACTACAGCCAGCTGGAGCTGTCAAAGCCAAACGACATATTTCCAGCTATCTCTGGCATTGCGAAAAGCTTTGGGGAGGCCACCGGCTGGGAATACATTGCTGGCATGTGGAAAGAAGGGTTGATGCAACACCTCTCGTGGTACACGAGCCCGCCGGCGTTTCGATGCAAAGTATGGAGAGCGCCTACTTTCTCGTGGGCTTCTCTGATATTTCTAAAAGATGACTTTTATTCGGATTGCATTGCATACGAGCACATGCACGACATTCAAGATTTGGCTACAGTCGTGGAAGCCAAATGTTGTCCAAAAGGCGCCGACCCTACGGGTCAGTTGGAAAGTGGATACATCATCTTGTCAGGGACCATCATACAGGCCACTGTTGATCAGTGGTGGATCAAGCCCCTGGCGTCTTCAACGCAGAGCTCCGAACCACTCACGAGTCCTGAAACAGATGACATCCCATCCTCAGACATGTCTGTCATCAGACGTCGAAACCGCGATGCGTTCACGTTCGCGCCCGACTTCTACCATGAACTGGAACAAGGAGCAACGGTGCATTGTCTGAAACTGCTTCAGGCAACATGGACTGACAGAAAGCATGTTTCGTACTTGGTACTGTCGAAGAGAAACTCAACACCTTGGGAGTGCAATGGTAGGACAGGCGAATGTGAGTTCGAGAGATTAGGTCTCATGGAGTCCCAACTTGAAAAGGATGATTTTCACCCGAAGATCTTTGAGGAAGAATCGCCAGAGCATGCCATCCAACACAACGCAGTGGTAAAGATTGTCTGAACTGCAGGCTGTAATAAACATGCGACAACGGGGTGTCTTGGTACCTATTGACACGAAGAGGGTGGTAGCGATGGCAAATATCGGGGCAGATTTCTGGATACGAAAGATGTATAGTAAAATGAAGTACTTTCTCTATTGAATAATGCGCCTGTGCCCTTGCTATGCCTAATGCGAAGCATCATCGCAACGCGGGCGTACTTCTTGAACATCTCGTAGTCGCTGTATGCAGCTGCTTTCAATTCGTTCCCACCAATGTAGACGCTATGCGCGCAACCTTGTGAAATTACCGTGACCCCACCTGTTCAATGCTGCAGGTGTTGATGCACTGGCCTCAGAAACAAAAATGCGTCCTGGATTGCACACAGTACGATGAACAGCTCATCACGACGGTGAATATTCCGCTAAGACTGTGCCCAGCAAAGTCCGCGGCGCATTTTCCTCTGACATCACCGCGCCAATACCAGGGCGAGACCGAGGATCGGGCAGAAGGGACGCATTTTCCCGCCGCAGCAGCCGAAGTTGAAAGCAGGGACGTGCACAACCGAGCAAGCAACTCGACCGTGAGCTCCACCTCATCCACAACGCGACCTTGCCCACTGCCATTGCGCAACCGTCCTTAATCCCCTCCCAGCGGTCCGCGCATCATCTTGCTCTGCTCGTCGTACTCTACGTTTCTCACCCACTTTTATCTTCCCCACCGAACTTATCTCCCTCACAACTTCGGCGCAATGGCACCTTTAACAGATGCGTCGGTCGATGACCTCAAGAGCACCGTCACCAGCCTTGAGAAGCGCATCGCTGACCTGGAAAAGAGACTCGCGGGTCAGAATGGGGGTGCGCCTGCGTCTGCGGAGAGCGTCAGGATGATCTTGATGGGCCCGCCCGGTGCTGGTATGTTGTTCCCGGTTGGAGAGAGGGTAAAAATGGCGGTTTTGCTTACACGGCATGTTAGGCAAGGGTACTCAAGCGCCCAAGATCAAGGAGAAGTTCTGCGCTTGCCATCTTGTAAGTTTTTCACAATGGGTGGGAAGCAAGATATGGGGGCTGACAGATTGCAGGCTACCGGAGACATGCTGCGCGCGCAAGTCGCGGCAAAGACTGCGCTCGGCCGGGAAGCAAAGAAGATCATGGACGCGGGTGGTCTGGTTAGCGACGAGATCATGATCAACATGATCAAGACGGAGCTCGAGAACAACGCCGAGTGCTCCAAGGGGTGCGTCCCCTCTCCTACACAGTTTGAAAGATATGCTAACACAACCCCACCCCCAGATTCATCCTCGACGGCTTCCCCCGCACAGTCACCCAAGCCGAGAAGCTCGACGGCATGCTCAGCATAACCAAGAAGCCCCTCCAACACGCCGTAGAACTGCAAATCGACGACGGCCTCCTCGTCTCGCGCATCACCGGCCGCCTCGTGCACCCCGCCTCCGGCCGCTCCTACCACAAGATTTTCAACCCGCCCAAGGCGCCCATGACGGACGACGTAACAGGCGAGCCGCTCATTCAGCGCTCCGATGACAACGAGGACACGCTTAAGAAGCGCCTGTCAACATACCATGCCCAGACTGCGCCGGTCGTCGCATACTACCAGAAGACGGGTATCTGGAAGCCGGTCGATGCGAGCCAAGAGCCTGGCCAGGTGTGGAAGAGTCTGCTTAAGATTTTCGATGACAAGGCCATGGTTGCTGGACGGACGGGTAGTCTGCTCAACAAGGTCGGGCTTAAGAACTAGGTGGCCTCCGGCGATGTGAGCAGGGAATGTGGTACCAGATTGCGAAGATACAACTACGTGTCACGCCTACGCTTTCATACCGCCAGGCAGACGCGTAGAGTCTCACGGCAGTCGGCTGATCATGTTTCAAAGCCACGTTACGAGAAAAGTCCACTTTTACGCTTTGGAATGAAAGAATGCACATATGGTTTGGATGGGTTCCTTGTACTTGTACAGATGCATACGCGTGGTGTGGGTGGTCTGTGGGGGCATACCTGTGTATTTCAGATGGCTCTTGCGGACTGGTTTTCTGGTAATTTACCGAGATCGGGAATGCTAGAGATGTTCATGATTGATGCTTATGTGGTCGCGAATGTGGCCTTTATCGAGCCGTGGTTCTCTGGCCACACCCAGAACTCTATGAAGATGCCTTGTCTTGGTGATTGAACATATATTGCACACTATCACTACCTTCAGTAAATACTCCTTGCGCCGCCAACACACGTGCTCCCTCCCGCCGCCGCCGCCACCCGTTCCAATAACGTGTTCCCTAGTCCAAAGTCGCGCGAACCCGTGGCCTCGGCGTTAGCACAACCCAGCTTCTCCTAACCTCCGGGGCGACTTGTCACTCCCACGAAAAAAGTGTCCTCCACAGAAACCTCATCCCACGAAGCAAGATTGACGTCCCATACCACATACGCGCATTCACCGCAGGCGCAATCGCAATCCATACGCATTCCCACGCCACGCGCGCGACATTCCAAACCTCAGACCTCATACCCCAGACCTCGAGCACAACGCGACGAACCCGAACCTCAGCCCATAACGCCTCGCCCGCACCCCAGAAAGGGGCCACAGCACACCTGCCATCCAACCCTAAACCTTACATCGCACATCGGCAAACATGTCAAGTAGATTCACGCGCGCCGACCCCCGCGACGACCTCTTCTCCTCCTACAACCGCAGCGCCTCGCCCTCGAAAACAAAAAACAAAACGCGCGCTTCCCCCTACAATGCCAGTATAAGCCAAGGATACGGGTATCCAGGTTCTTCCGCGGATGCGTATCCAGGGGGAAGTGGAGGTGGGAGTGGGATTGGGAATGGGAGTGGAGGGTTGTATCCTGGGGGTAGCGCGGGGGGAAGTGCGTATGGAGGTGGTGGTGGTGGATATGGGGGGTATGGTGTAGGCGGTGGGAGGGGAGGAGGAGGAAGTGGTGGTTATGGGGGAGGCAGTGAATATGGGATTTACAGATCCGCGACACCGAATTCAAGAGGGCAGTATTCGGCGGCTGTGTTGGATGAGTTGGAGAGTCAGAATGATGAGCATGTTGGTGTTTTGACGGGCAAGGTTAAGATGTTGAAGGATGTATGTACTCCCCTTTTCACCCTCCCTATTCATTCCCTCTTTCTATCTACCTATCCTATAGAATGCCTCGCTAACGCTCAGACAGTTAACCCACCTCATCGGCGACGAAATCCGCGACTCCACCACCCTCGCCGAGAAGATGAACGACCAATTTGAGAACTCGAGACATAAGATAAAGGGCACCATGAATCGAATGTTGAGGATGGCGCAGAAAACGGGTGTGGGGTGGAAGGTTTGGGTTGGTTTCTTTGCGGCGGTTATTTTGCTGTTTTGGTGGGTGTGGCTGGCGTGATTGAAGAGGACGAAAAAGGAAAGGGGGGAAG